AATTTTTAGTGATTTTTTTGAAATATCCTGCATGCTTGAACTTATATTGTTTTTTCTAGTTTGTTCGAATCATTACAAACACTATTCTGGGGAACATTTGGATTGGTTGATCTTCAAACATTTCAAATATATAAAAAACATACATTCACTATGTTCATTGGATTATTGATGTATGGAGTATACAGCAGCATAATGATAATCGTTTTGTTGAATATGCTTATTGCAATGATGAGCAACAGTTATCAGTATATAGCTGTAAGTTGATTTGGTCTAGAGAAAAATATTATTATCAAATTTTGAAAATATATTTAGAATCAAACAGAAACTGAGTGGAAATTTGCTCGTGCAAAACTGTGGACAAGTTATTTTGAAGATGGCGGTACATTACCCCCTCCGTTCAATATTGTCCCGAGTCCAAAATCATTGTACTACGTTATGAGATATTTATATCGACGAGTGTGCGGATGTTCGAAACGCGAATGGAGAAATAGATGGCAAAGTATCAACGTAAGATGTAGGAGCAGCGCTTTGACCTTACTTTACCGAAGTAAAGGTTGAAAAATAATAAAAATACCACTGCTACCATAAGTTGTATATTTTCTGAGAAGTGAGGATACTCTAACACAGTAGATTTTTTTTCATTTTAGAAAGTAATGAGTAAAATGAAAGAACGAGATTTGAAATATGACACTGTTATTCGTGAGCTCGTTAAACGATATATAATGAAGCGACAACAAAAAGATCAAACCGAAGGAGTAACCGAAGATGACTTGAATGAAATTAAACAAGATATATCAGCGTTTAGGTACGTCTAAACAGATAAAAATCTGTTTAAATGTGACAATTTTTTATATTTTATCGGTAGGTTTGAATTATTGGAAATTCTTACCACGAATGGATACAACGTTCAGTCATTAAGGAAAAATCCAGGTAAGATTCTACAGCACATTTATTCGACTGAGAAATATGTAAATGTTTGTGTTTCACAGAGACTGGAAAGTTTGAGCCTGTCGACGAAAAGTCATTAAGATGTAAAACTTTTGCTGTGTTATAAAACATTAGTCATTTGGTGCATGAGTGCAATGTAGTATAGATCACATGTAAATCGCGTAACTCTGCTACTGCTGTGCCAGTGCAGGTCTTTTGTTTTGCTTTTGTGTTTTGCTCTTTTTGTTCATCCTATAATATTCACAAGGAATATCGCAGAATCCGGAAAAACGTCTTATTTTGTAGAACAAAGTATGCTCTTCGAATTCTAGCATTGATTCTATTATAAATACTCGACTCTTTTACGCTATATTTAAAATACCAAGGGCTCTAAAAACAAATGAAAATATTTTGGAGGCTCTTGTTATTTTAAATATAGCGTAAAATAGTCGAGTATTTATAATAGAGTCAGTGCTAGAATTCAAAGAGCATACTTTGTTCTATAAAATAAGACGTTTTCCAGGATTCTGCGATATTCCTTGTGAATATTATAGGATAAGCAAAAAGGGCAAAACTGGTCACGCAGTGACACTACGGTAGCAGAGTTACGCGATTTTTATGATCACATATAACTTCTGAACAATTTTGACCACGTGAACATGAATGAATATCGTAGAATTACTTTAGCACGGTAATGATGCATTGGATAAAAAATCGAGTTATTTTCCACACCAAGCTGATCCATCAGTTAGTTATTGCTAATAAGAAAAAATCTTTTTTTCTGCCTAAAGAAAGCATAAGAATTTTTTTCCTTGCATAAAAAGGAAGATAAATAGAAGATAAAGGGATAATCTCACAACTTTTCCCAGTTGAGTAACTCCAACCCAGGACTGGAATTAACTTCTGAACTGCGCATTTTTTATTGGAGATGGATTGAAATTGGCTTTTCATATATCCGAGATTGAGTTACGCTTTTATTCTGCAACTTCAACGACCTAAATGCACACTCAAATATTCAAACCTCGGCTTTTCCTTCTTTTTTCGCACTATTAACAAGCAGATACATTTCACAACAAAAATTTATTATACAGAAGGATAAATAAACTTTAAGACGAAGTTGAAACGGAATTGAAGTTAAGAACCCCTCAGAATCTGAGATTATATTCTGATATGAAGGTGAAACTTACTTCAGATGTTTAGACAAGAACTATTGTTCGTACTTTTGTAATAGAGGGCCACTTTGGATATTTCAGAGATAAGTGGTTGCAGTTGCTGTATTCTTATCTTTTACCCAGCTGTTATCAGATGAATTTGCTAATTTGATGATATTATGTGCTTTGACATTTATAATGCTTTATTCTTTTTTATGAATGACATCAGAGTATGTGTGTGCTATTTATATATAATCATGGAATAAGTGTATGCTTTGTTAATTAGCATGTTTTTTTTATCATATATGCCAAATAAAATAACAATGTTTTTTTGTTTATTTTATAGCTTGTCGCGTAGGACGTAAACGCGGAAAAATTAATTTAGAAAAAACCATCAATAAAAATTTATTTGATATGTCAGTAATACCGGAACGAGCAGAACAACAACAGCAACAAGCATCATCACCATCAAATACGTTAACAAATCCAAAACAAAAATTAACGGCACAATTTAAGCGTGCTATAACAATGATGAAACAACGTTCAGAACCTAATGAACCACCACTAACTGATTCAGCGAATAATTCGAATGCGGCCAATAGTAATACGAGTTTAACAAATTATTTATTCGGTACTAAACCATCGCAGTCACTTGACTCGGCAATATTAGATAAACTAGCGTGTTTAGCCGAAGAAAAACTAATTGTTTTACCACATGATAAATCAACATCAACGAATATAACAACGGTGAATACATCATCAACGATTGCCACTGTTAAACTATTATCCACACCACCACACAGATCAATGAACGATAATCATCAGAGTAGTTCGCCCCCAACACCCAGTACATCAAATGCAAAAATTCGGACTAGTAATACTACAGCGGTGAATAATAATCGTCATCATTCGCCAACCGTTGTTACGCAAGAAAGTTCAGATAGTCATGTATCCTTGTCAATAATTAATCCTTCACGTACATCATCCATACAACATTTATCAACAACAACAAATCAACCAATACTTCATTATGAACAAACAACGACCACGACAGTACTAAACATGGATCCATCGTCTTCCTCTTCATCAGGTCACAGTTCTAATCATACATGTCCATCGAGGCATCTATCACAAGACACAGTATCATCATCATTCACGCCTATTAACGCTCCTCATCCGACGACTACTCTCTCTTCACAACCTCTTGTTAAACAATCATTACAACAAATACATTCTTCGATAATGCAAACAATGCAACAACAATTATCTCCTCCTTCTCCTCAACAACACCAACAGCAGTCAGCATCTTCACCATCCAATCAACTTAGTGCAGGTGAATTAGCTATTCTAGAAACAATTCTCTAGCAAAGCAACTTGATTTTGTAATGTCTGTTGTTTAATTGCACCATGCACACAAAAAAAAGATAATGTTGTAGTTTCACACACACACACACATCAATGTGTTATACTGCACTTTACATGTCTTTAAATGTGTGTGATAAATCGCTCGCGCACGATGAACGTTTTTACTTCTGCACGGGGTGTATGCCTTTGTTTGTATGGTGAAATAACAATGAAGATGAATAGTTCACATTGGGTTATCAAGAAATCAGTGTGCTTTGAATATGTAAGTGTATTACAAACAGTGTGCATGAACGTCATTAATCATCGCAACCGTGTTTTTTAAATGTATCACACTTTTTTTGTTAAATCTCTGAAGAAAGAGAACCAGAACTTTCGGTGCACAAACAGCCGAACAAAGATTGCTTTTTGAGAGATAACTGTTTGGGTAGATAATGTAGATCATACAACAAGATTCAATTCTGTCTTTTCCTACTAGAAATGCTGAAGAAATGCAAGCTTATCTGACTTAAAAAAATTCAAATTTAGTTTGTTTTTTTCCGCTTCTCACTTTCCATCAGCCATCCACACAAACAGATGCCTCTAACATTCTACTAGGATGAAGTATTAATAGTTTGTTTCACTTATTTTTTGCAGGTTATATTCGTCTTTTAAATGGTGGTCGAGCTCCTATAGCTTCTCCGGATCCGTTATCGTTGACTGATGACAGTGTATGTGCTAATACTCCGGAAGTAGATATCCTATGAACATATGCGTTCTACTACTGAAAAAATATAACTGAGTGATTTAAATAGTGTTTATCTTGTTTTCTGAAAAGAATTTGTGCATCCATACTTTTCTATCTTCTTCTTCTTCTTGATAAATATCTATTGAACAAATTCGAATCGGCGATTTCTTCTCCTTGAAAAGTCGTGTCATTAAAAATACATGATAAGTTGCTTTATGCTTCCTCATTTCGATTACTTCTATGAACAACATAGATGTATTGGTCGTACATCTATACATCACAGTCGATATTGTTAGTCATCTGTATTTTTTTTTAAAGAGTCAAATTATTTTTAAAGTTATTTTTTGTACTCGTTTTGTTACTGCACTTATATTCTGACTATGTTCGGTTGTTTTCTATTTTCTAAAAAGAAAGAGCGTATTATATAAATGAAATCATATTTATTGCTACGCAGTCAGGCAAGTCAAATGTCCAGTATGAAATCAAGAAACTTTTTTTTCCCTTATTTTGACCACAAAATCAGTGTTTCAATTTGTTTACGTTTTAAATAATATCCATTGACGCATAATAAGCAATTATAGAACGGATGACGATAATGGGGTATATAGCTTATCGATCCAAAGTTTTTTTTTATTTGAATACTGCTGATAATACTCGATCGATACTACATCTTAAACACATGTCAAACAATTCTCATGAGTGTATTGAGTAAAAGAAGACAACTTTACCCAACAATTTCAAGAACACACTAATATTGTGCACACGTCTGAACTGTTAATAGCAGTCTGTTCGACATAAACTATACCGATTTTCTGACTGTTTACAGGTTGAATGTAATCAGAGGATTGTTGCTCTCTGCACACATATTTCTAAAATCTGTCGAATATATGACATTGGTACTTCGATAAAGTTCTATTTATCACCGACATATCATTTAATCACTAAAAATAAACTCTTCTCTATTTAGTATAGTGTAAAATTCTAGTGAAAAGGCAATTCATTCTGATGATCGGACCAAAGTGTGCAACGCTACACGGGCTATTTCTTGTCGAACGTTTAATTCTCAGGTTGAAATTTTTCTAGTAAAAAGAAGGATTTTCCCTATTTTCCCTATTGAATTTTATGTTCGCATTGGCTACATAATAAAAATACCCTATCAAAATCTTTTACTGCTGGATGTCGATAAGGCTGAGCTTTATTCCGGCTTAGTTACAGGTTGGTACCTAGAATCTTTAATAACTTTCAAAAAATTATATTTTTCTACTAGATTGTATTTCTAAATAAAACAGACACAAAAATAAGTCTTAAAAAAAGTTCTCTGTCAGAATTTTCAGGTGAGAGATTAAAAACTTTTAGGACTTTTTAGAAAAACCTTAGAAGATAAAGAAGCATTTTCTTTGATGTTTCTATCAATTCTTTTATATGTGTTTTTTTCTCTGTATCTTATCTGTTTACTGAATGCATATCATCGGAACAAAAAAAATAAAATTAGTTTTGAGTTGCTGAAAAGTGCTGTTTCGTATCCAACACATTCGATCAGCAGCAACTCAAAACCAACTTTATTTTTTTTCCGATGATATGACATTGATATATTTGTGTGTTAAAAGGTCTTTTCCTGTAAATCATACGTTGATTCACCATTCTACGCTACTACAAGAACAGAAGACAATGAACAGGACATAAACAGCAAAATATATGCACATTGTAGATATATCATCTATGCGACTCCACACGCCATGTACTCAAATAATGAACCTATCACGAGCTTTGAAATCTAATGATTCATCTGGAAAAGCCTTTCCCTCTTTCCTAACTCTTTAATGTCGATATAAGCGTTATGTTAAACAGAAAATAAGTGAAAAAAATCAATTTTCGATCAACTGAAGGTATGACAAATTCGGAGAGCACATTTCAATATGAGAGAACAAATTCAAGTGCAAGTTTTCACTAAAACCTGAGATTTCATCCACAACTTATACTGTGCTTGCCCATTGTGACATAATAGTCAACTAAACGGCGGTTGGTCAGATATAACTAGGTGTGGAAAAATGGGAAAGTTGCTGATATTATACCTACCTGTTAAGACAATTGAGGACGCAGTTGTCTGGAGAATGCAGTGGTTTTTACTATACAACACCCAAAACTTATACCTTTACTCATATTAATTTCCTTTTTCGGAAGCAAAATGCATTATCACTAATTGCGTATTCAAAGCTTTATATGAAATTATAATGAATTCCATCTATGACTACTATGATTAATTTTATTTAATATATACATGTAAAGATATGTATATCTCTATATGCGGATGCCATGTTTTAATTATCGCGAGTATTGTATCTCAACTTTTTGTTAAAAAAAGTGTCATTTTTAGACACCCGTTACTTAGTAATGTAATGACATATCGAAAAGGTTCGTCAAATGTAAACTTACTTAAACCATCGATTCATCATTGTCGCACATCTAAATCATTCGTAGTATCTGAGAAAAAATGACATAAAGATCGAACAAGCTGTCAGAAAAAGAAGAAAGTAGAATATTGCTAGGCAACGCTTCTAGAGGAAAGGAAGAACTTGATTGAAGCAAATTTCAGTAACTTAAAAGCACGAGTTAATAACTTTAATTCGAGAATTAAAATCATTTGATGGAAAGTAAATGCAAAAATATTATCTATAAAATTTGGGCATCGTCAGCAGCAGTCACTGCCATACACTCGGAGAATTTTCCTTGAATGGTTCTTTGGATTTTCAGAAATTTTCTACAGTTTCACCACGAGTCCCACCTTTACGAGTATTTTTGTGATCATCTTTTCTTAACAACATTTCTTAATTAGATAACACAAGTCCATAAGCTGCTCGTCAGAGCGAAATACGATCTAAAACAATGTAAAAAAAGAATTTCAGCGTATAATTCAATCTAGGTTTTGAAAAGGACGGCGGACCCTGGTTGAAACTTCCTCAGCACTCCTGTCACAGGATCACGCAGGGAGTCAGATGAGACTTCTAAGGGGTTCTACAGGACTCCAAGTCCCCATGAGACCCTTAAAAGTCCTGCGAGAGTCATGAGGAGTCCCCTCTGACTCCCTACGGGATCTCTTTGCAGGAGTCCTGGGGCAGTTTTATCGAAAGTTTGAACTAGGAGACGGTTTCTGCAAGAAAATGCTCTTATATATTTTTGAGAAGATAACGACTGAAACTGATCAGAAACCGTTCGTTATTTAGTTTTTAATATTTCTGCGCCTTAAAAGCTGATTGTGGACTACCATATGCTGGAATTTTTAATCATTTCTGAGCATCGGTCCAAAAAGCTTATTCGATCGTATTTATTCATTTTTCTCTGCGAGTTCGATGTTCTTAATAGAATCTTATATATGAAAACATGCGCAATCAAACGGGCTTTAAAGTGGTCTATAATGCATCTTTTCAAACTAATGTCTGCATCGAGTTATTTGTCAAATATTATCTATGATTATTTGCTGTCCATATATGTAACCCTCATTGAATATAATAAAATGCATATAGTTTGTCAGCGCACTCACGAGGGATCCTCCCGAGGTGATACATCGCTTTTTGATCGACAAAAGCATCCAAAAAAATCTTCTATACTTATAATATAATTCTATAAATCATATATTATATATATATATAAATAAATTTGTTAAATATGAAAAAATTTAATAGATCTTCATCTCCCGTAAAATATTCTATACAAAATAATGGGAACCTAAAAAAACTATAATAAAAAGCACTAATAAAAATAATAGATCAAAACGATAATAAAATAATTCTATAAACTTATATACTCATGCGGGGAACCCTATGTATAATCCTGTATCGAGTCATGGTAGATACCTGAGAATCTTTTTAACATATGGGTACCATATGTATAACGCAAAATCAATAAACAATTTTAAAGTAGTACCATAAACTTATACCGCTCTTAATTATTTACCTTCTATAATTTTTAACATCTGTAGTCCAGATGTATAATCCTGTATCGAATCATGGTAGATACCTGAAAATCTTTTTAACATATGTAATATGTATAAAACACAACCAATAAAATTAAAAAACCTTAATTAAATATATTAAAAATAATTAATAGCAATATAAATATAAATTTATAAACTAATGGATCTTCTTCTTTTTTTTTGGTAAGATCATCGAGGCTGAAAAGCCACGGTACATAGTAAAACCATATGAAAAATTTAATAAAAAATATTAAAAATCCTGAAAAAATTTACCATCCATTCAGCAAAAATTCTTTGTAGATTTATCGAACCTAAAAATTTTCATCTTGTCCCAATGATCATATTTTTGGATTATAGGTTATCGACCATGCTGATTCCGAATATGATCACGAGGTTTCCCCATAACCCTTAGGAGATCCAGTCTTCTGAAAAACCAGTTTTTCCAAAACTCCAAAAAATAACCCAAACCCTTTTTGACAATTCAAGATTGTAGCGCGCAAATTTCTGATTAAAATGAAACATTCCCCAGCTATACACGACCTTTCTTTGCAAAGTTATAGAATTTATAAGAAGAGCCCTAAATTAATTATTTCTGTAGCTTTGAGCTGACAATGAACAATTTAGGACTTTTCTTACAAATTCTATAACTTTGCAAAGAAAGGTCGTGTAGAGCTGGGGTATACTTTATTTTAATCAGAAATTTGCGCGCTACAATCCTGAATTGCTAAGAAAGGTTTGGGTTATTTTTTGGAGTTTCGGAAAAACTGGTTTTCCAAAAGACTGGATCTTCGAAGGGCTATGGGGAAGCCCCATGGTCATATTCGGAATCAGCATGGTCGATAACCTATAACCCACTAGATGTCGATCAAAAAGCGATTTATCACCTCGGGAGGTTTCCTCGTCAGACCCGGAATGGTTTTATACACAGAAAAATGCACAATTGATAGGGCTACAAAATGACTTATAACATCCCAAGCATGAAGAAAAATCGTGAAACGGGCGCCTGCATCTAGATTTAAAGGTACATCTATCTTGCTTCAACTAGTTGC